ACCGCAGGCGAAGCCCGAGCCAAATCTCTTTTTGCAAAACACCCCCAGCCAACTTCCAAGCCCATCGCAGCCATCGCCAGCCATCGCCGGTGCCAGGCGCCCGGTCGGCCGTTCTTCTTTCTCTTTGCGGATTTCGTGATTTTAGCCTGGCAAGCCCATTTGTGATCCCTAGCTCTCCCCTAGCTCCCAGCTCTTCCCGCTTGCCCGTCCGCGGCAACCTTGCCCCGGCCGCCGCTGCCCCCCTCCCCTGGCTGGCGCACCGACCGGGAGAATGGGAAAAGGAAAAGAGGCCAGGCGAGATTGAGAGCTTCTAGAAGACCGCCGGGTCCCCTTGTCCAAAACGCGAAAGCTCCTGAAGGTGATTTTGGCCGGCAGCGGCTTGCGGGTCCCGGAGCAGGGGGTACTCTTCGGGCCTAGCTTCACTCCTTCTTGCTTGCTTCTTCACGTTTTTTTTTTTCATGTGGAGTTCCTTCCCAACTTTCCGGCTCTTGTTCGGCTCCTCCCCAACCGGATTAGTTACCCGGAGAGACGGAACCAGATTGTGCACGGCCCGAAACGGCTGCATAATTAAATTCCAGCGCGACGGATTTCTCTGGATGCAAACGGTGGAACTCGCGAAACGGTCGAGCGTGTGGGTTCCGTCGTCCGGCACAGAACGTTGAAGATGCCGCAAGCGCGCTTGGGAGATTGAGTATATTGCAACCGCACTTTCCACTCTCTGGCATTCGAGAGACTCAGACTGAACCTTGATATTGGAGAGAATCAGGCTGCATACGGATATTGTTTGGCAGAGAGGGAAGCGGGTTAAGCGGGTGCACTGCACTGCACTGCGAGAAGACGTGTTCGCTTACCATGCAACACGATTCGTCAAGCTGCGAGTCTTCAGTGGTTGATACACCTGCGACCAATGGAGAAGCATCGTCCGTCATCACGGTCCGCCTTGATTGGTGCGAATGCAAAGGGATCTTCAACAGGTTCAGCAGGCTGTGGACAATTATCTGCAGGGACTTTTCGTAATGTTACTTTCGTCGGGCTGATCTGATAACAGCTCTTTCTCATTGAGGGGGCGGCCAAGAGGGAATCCCCGCTCAACCCCTCACTCACGAGCTCTAGACGGGTTGATGCTCATGATGTGTTGACAATCAGGCTGTAGATGCATGTTCAATAAAATCACTGGACCAAGTCGCTGCATGGCGCTCGCTGATCTGCTCCTGCAGCAACCACTGATATCATAATCCTTGAGTTTCACAACATCATGCCGGTCCCGTACGAGATATCCGAAGCCATCCGGCACAAGAAGGCGCAATATTGCCGGTTCGCCGACTCCAACGAATGGCATCTCTTCGACGGCATCGCCCTCCCTGACGCGACCTTCAAGTTCTTCGACAAGGAGGGGGCGCTTGTGAAGCAGGGCGACACGGAGATGACTTTCGACAACCTCGCCGCGTTCCAGGCGCACTTCAGCAAAACGAATGCGCACATAGACGCGGTCCATATGGTGAACGCCGGCGAGCTGGATATGGTGGCCGAGGACGAGGTCAAGGCCATCTTCACCGTGGTCTACCATGGAGGCGCGCTGGATACGGAGGATGGGCTTCACTCGACTGGGGCAGGGCATTACCACGAGGTTTGGAAGAAGGTTGGGGATGATTGGTTTCTGAAGAGTTTGTGGATGAAGAGGATTTATTGGAAGGTTCAGGTGATTGCGTGAGGTTGAGGGTGAGGATGAACGACTTTGGTTGAGGTGTTGAGGATTATTGTCTTGACTGTTTTCGGTTTGTGTGAGTTTCCGTGTGGGAGGATGGTGTGATGACTTGCTTTCAAATGTTCAAACGACAACCATAATGTCCAATCTCGATGATCTGAGTACAGTTCTTCTTTCCGGCAAAAATAAGCATTCCCCAGTGTCTGGCGATAGAGAAGATCGTGAGATCGCGATGCCGCGAGGTTGGGCCCGTCTTGATGTTCGACGCATGCTCGATCTACAGGTGTCCTGTATTGCTATATGTGTCTGGAACTGACGCATTTGGCCACATGGGCAATGTTTACCCCTTCTCATTGAGTCGGTACAAGATCACCCGAAAAAGGTTTGTGACATCCCAAGATGTTGTTAGTTTTTCGGTATCTCCATCATCCTGGAGACACCAGTTCACAGAAAAAGGATGTATGATGAAAGCCATTGGTACGGAGTGTGACATGTTGAGATATCCAGTGACATACATCTTTTGGCAACTGCCTCGGAATTTCTGAGCTATTGGATTTCCTTAAAGCCTAAAGTTTCCGGAGCGAGAAAACTCATGTCGTTCAATTTGCGAACATTGCGATATGGCACGCAGACTGATGCCCTCGGAAGCCCACCGCAGTGAAAGTTGACATTTGTGAATCAAGACCAAAATTGGCAAGATGACAATCGAGATTAAACCCAAATCAGACTCTGACAACATGTCTGCCTGTTGACGTCTACTCGATATCAACCCCGCGATACTCGAAATACTCATTGAATTCCGGATCTCCAAGCAGCAAGTGAGCCAGATCCTTCTCGAAAGAGATTGCAAACTCCGGGCCCTCGTCTGACTCCGGAGAAGGGTCGCGAGGAGGATAGATCACAACGACACCCTCAGTCACTTGATCCATCAAATGCCTGTAACCGGAAGGCTTCCCGAAGCCGAAATCCGCAGATACAATGTTGGCATCACGGTGATCCGTGTGCAGAATCGACATTGGTGGAAAGGAGTCGATCCGAATGTTCATAGTCGCCTTCTCGCGCACCAGCGCAACCTGCTCGAGCATCTTGTCCAAGCCTTCTTGAGTAACACTGTCAGTCAACTGACGGATATATCGAGCCACTCTCCACAGCGGCCACTCGGAGATGAGTTCCTTCGCGGTCGGCTGTTCGACCGGCGCACTGGCGGTGGCCGCCACGGACATGACGTTCTGCTGGATGCGAGCTGGCAGTGGTGGGGAATGCATTCGACGGCGCATATCGACAGGCTCGCACCAAAAGATCTTGGAGTCCGGGTCCGTCTTGAAGGTTGGGGCCCGTACACGCACCGTATGCCGCCAGAGGAAGGCTGCGAAGGCATCGTATGTCGATATCCAGGTGCCGTCTTCTGGTTTGGCGAGCTCCTTTAGCTCCGCAGCTTTGCTCTTGGGCAGATGATAGAGGAGATCGACACCGCCTTTGTGGCCAGGGTGACGTTCTGGAGGGGGCCGGCCACTAACTCTGAGCTCTTCAGGAGGATCGGGTTTGGTGAGGCGGGACAGGTCGTTACAAGCTGGGTCCCACGAAGGGAATGGCGTGCCGTGGACGATGGCGTAGCAGTTCTCTGCCAGTTGGTGCGTGAAGCCAGCCCAGCCCATAACATCGTTGGCGTAATGATGGTGGTGCATATTGAAGACAAGGCCTCCGCGGACGAAGTTTGCTTTGAAAGCCGAGGTTACGGGGCTGTTATCTGGGTAGGCTTCAGGCTTTTCGCCGTATGTCATGGGCGGGACGCTCCAGAGCCTCTGGTCGCCAAGTATGACAGCGTTGTAGTTTGCCTGGTGGATGTCGTCGAAAGATGGGTATTTCTTGGCGTCAGAAGGGTCGTCAAGCCACTGGACGTGGAAGGCGACGACGCTATCCTTTCTCTTGGTAAAAGAGTGACCGCCCTCGGGATCCTTCTCGATGGAGCCGTTCATATGCCGTGCTTGGGCGAGGGTCCGTTCGAGACCAGCCTTGAGGATCTCGACAATTCGAGGCTTCTCCTCGTCTAATAGCCGGAAGAAAACGGCATAGTTGCAGTAGACTTGCGCTGTGAGATAGTCGAGCGTAGAGACTTTGAATTTCTCTTCTTCGGGATCGTTTTCCCATCCGTAAGGGCGAAGTTGGTAAACTTGTTGTTTTGCCATATCGTGTGTGAAGGAGTTGGGGCAGGTCGTTAGTTCTCTCGAGGTTTCTTGCCAAATACGAACAAGTCGAAGTTGTAGAAGATCATATATAAAACCATACGGCATTGTGTTTGTATTGGAAGTACGCGTGTTATGCTACATAGCCACGAAGCAACCCCAGTCTACCTCCTTGCTTCTTCGTTGGCTCGGTCCAATGCCTACTCTACTCGTGTTCCTGTACAGATGCAGACTTGCCAATGAGGAAGGTGTCACATTGCACCAACACGGCTTGAGCGGCTAATATCTTCAATAACATTTCAATATTTACGACGATCATGGCCAAAAATGGAATTGTGTGGCATGTACCTGGGGAATGATGGCCTATTTGGGCGGCTGGAGACTCCTGAGGGTTCACGATTGATGGACAACGCAAGGCTGGCGAACGGGAATAAAGTGTTGACTCCGCGATCCCACTCTCAGTGGATGTTTGTCGGTCACCGGTCACCCTAAAAGAGTTGATGCCAACACTTGGCACTTCAACCCCACTCATAGGCTCATGCAGTACTGACAGCATGATTTGTTGGTGACTTTGAATGGTATATCGGGTCTTTTACCGGCGCTCATAGTTGCGGAGTAAAATTCGTATGTGGAGGAGTTAACCCCTCCAGGCGTTGTCGAGATGCATATCACCTGTGTCAGAAAATTTTCCTGATAGTTGATATCATACGAATTATCTAATTCTATTTGGGCTTAACGTGAGGAAACTTGGTGAACCCATTAAGGAGGCGTATAAGAGAGTTTGCTGCAAGATAATATCTACTTCTGATGAAGTAATCGACTAGATAAACATTGAAGCTGTGAGGAAGTTGAGATGAGGCCAAGATATTATGAAAACAGAAACAAATTCCTCTAGATTCAAGTGTAACATGACATAATGTCTAAGCCTTTTTATTGAATTATAGTTAACTTGAGAATGTTAGTTAGCTTTGGTATATCTCCTGACATATCTGAAATTATTAAGGTAAACGCATCGTCTAGATGTCTCCTACTTCTCTAAGAGACTTTTCAGCCACACGGCCTATTTTGGTTACCCCTCAACATCTAAGTCGCTTCTTGTACGAAAGGGTACCCTAATGAGGCAAAGCAATCGCAAAACCAGCTAAGGCTGCCAGAGTCCACACCATAGCCAAAATCCCAGCACTACCTCCCGCAGTAGTCATCCTCATTCTACATGCCGCATTGGATGCGGTCTCCGTTGCCGTAGCGTCGCCGCCACCGCTACCCGCTCCCTCACCATTACGGTTGTAAACCATTGTGACCGCCGGCTTGTACGCGACGGCAAACACGTCATCCGTGACCGAAGATGTTGGGGCGACGGACGACGCGCTCTCTATGCTCTCGGCGATAGATGACAACGATGGATCAGAAAGTTTGGTTCTGATGCTTGGTGTTTCCGTGATTGGAGACACGGAGGACACGGGAAGTTCGCCTTCGGTCACCGGAGACAACGTTGCAGTGGAGGAGGCACCATCCGTGGTGGAAGCTGGTGCGAGCTCGAGATCTGTAGTCTCTATGACGGGCCGCGTTTCTATGACTGAGGGAACTGAGGGGGCAGGGGGCTCGCTTTCGGGGACCGGAGACGGCTTCGGAGTGGAAGGGACATCTTCCGTGTTAGGAGCTACTGTGGGCTTGAGCTCGATGGTCTCTGTGATCGAAGGTACTATATTCGTCGAGGGTCGACTGATTGGCCCGAAGGACACAAAGCTGCCAGTCGTGACAGCTGTACCGTTGTAGGTGATGGCCCGCATGAAAGCGCCGAAATCACCGTTCTTTGAAGCTACTGGGCAAGCGGTCTTCTCGCCGTACACCGAGTCTTGAACGGATGAGAAACAGCCACCGTTTTTGCCAACGATGTATCTCCTGTGTCTTGTTAGTTGAAAATTCGCTGCGTTTGTCCAAGATGCCAAATGTGTAACTCACTCAGGACAGCATAGAACAGCCGTCTCGCCTTCTTCAAGCACCTCCATCAACACACTTAATCGCGGACTTTGCCCTAGTGTACCCCCTCCAAAGACGGTCTTCGGGACAACAGGTGGCGCGAAGACTCCAGAAGACGTGATATTTCCATCATCGCCCCTGAAGGCCGATCCAACAGTGGTGTACGCATCAGGACACAGACTAGCCGGAGAGAAGTAGGCGATCGTAGGTAAGACAGAATTCCCTTTGATACTGGCCGAGGAGTACGCCGCGTCCATCTTTTGGCCTGAAGGAATACATGTGCCCTGGCTGGCAATACCACATGATTGTTTATAGTGGACGGCGACGCGATCGGTGACAAACCTATCTTGATCGGCGAGCCAAAGATCAGGCGAACGAGTTGCGCAAGCTGTTGGTACCGTAAATACGGTCGTTAGGGGGCCGATGTTGGTGATGGCATATTGCGATGCGAGTGTTGCGGTTGGCATTTTGACGTTTTTGATACAGCAGCTTAGTTTGGGTTTCGGCTGCGTATCGACTCCGTTGCAGGTAGTTCAAAGAGAGAAGAAGATATTCATTTTGATCACACCGGCGGCCATGAGGGGAAGGCAGATAAATGTATTGGGACGCAGGGCACGAGGCCTCGTCAGGCCTTAAAAGCACAACTTACGCCGAGCTGAGATGCGCACGATGATTGGGGGCGATCCTGTGCCGACAAGGGGACAACTAGGATGTCAAATACTGAAGCCTCGAAGTAACCTGGCAGGCCAGTGAAAGCAGGGGGGATGTGTGCAAAGACTGGTCAGCAAGGCAGACTACAAGTCACTCGTTCTGTGTAGAGACAGCGGGCGCAGCGAGGTGCAGGCCATGCGTGTGAAGAGCATCCTTGAATAGAACCCAGCCAGGAGCTTTAAAGGCCAACGGGGCGTCTGGAGCCTTGCGGTAGCAACCTTTTCGCAATTATCTTCCTAGGATAGCATACTTACAACTCTGCATACCTCAGTCGAACCGAAATCTACATCGCTGTAGCCTACAAACCTGTCGCTAGATTTTGATTTTGGAATTTCGAGTTTCCGTGCTGGCAGAACCATCGGTTCAAGACCTTGCGCAAGCTCGAGCGAGTCGAGCTAGAGTGACAACAAGATCATTCTCGGTTGTGAACAGACAAGGTCGGTTGGAAATCAGGCTGTGGAAGCGCCAACATCGGAGCAGGCTGTGCCAAGATGCTTGCATGATGTTGCCTGAATCTGCATGTAAGACCCGCTATCAGAAGATGCCAATTTGCCAGGGCCTTGAAGTTTTCAGCCTTGAAAATCCCGAATGGCAATGGGCAAAGTCCGCTCACTCCTTTGCAGCTTGACGGGTGGCAGTATGGACATAAGCAGCCTGCGAGCACATGAAATGGTCAACAACACTCGCTGCCATATCATACATTACCATATATAGTAGTGCACTCAATGTTATCACCCGAGACACTACGCATGCGCAAAGACTGACGCCGTCGAGATGGCCCGCTCACGACACCGCATCAAATCAGAGAGTGAGACGAAGTACGCTCTTTTGCGCAAGCCCACAACAAATGCGCACCTCTGGTACTTTATCTACAATTCTCTGATTATTGTCTTGGGCGCTTTATCTGTTACTTTCTGGGTTCTAGGTGCTCAGAGTCCCCTTCTATACCCTTTCGACTTTGGACAGTGGTTGCTTGCCAACCCGAAGATCAGCACCATTATATGGACAGCCTGCGGTTCTGTTCTCGCGGCTGTTTTTATGTTCTTGCTCAAGGGTGTACTGATTCTCATGTCTAAACAAAGAGCACGATCAGGGGCCACTCTTTCTACAATTGAAGGTATATCCTCTCTGGAAATCATGTCAAACAGCTCACTCACCGAAATTAGGATGGAACAAGTGTGCAAACGAACAGCCCCTCCTCGATTCTCAACGCGCTCTGCTGTCTGGATTTACGGTGATTAATTGGCTTGTCGCTTTAACACTCACAACGGCCTTCACGACACTCCTCACCCCCACTAGTATCCTCGTAAGTGAGGCTATACTTGGTGATGAGGTTGACTTCACGGCCCCTGAATTCTTAGAATGGTATAACTTGAGAGATGCAGACAGGATACCGAAGAGAAAGATCTACGGATGCACACGATATACCTACAATTCATCCCTTGGGTCTATCAACTTCCCGACTTGCCCGTTTGCAGACGACCCAGTCGCCTGTATTTCCGCGGGGGTCTCTGCTGCGCAAGGGTCCCTTGGTGCTCAGAATGCCTCCGTTCGGGTGGTTGATAGCCTCTTCAAAGGTTCGACCGGCGGTGTGCTTCCCCTCGGCTTTGGCGGCATCTCAGCCTTCAGCAACGTTGGTTTTGAATCGTGGCCATCTACTACCAAGTACCCTCACTTCAACTATACCCTATCACAGCAAGGTCTCTCTGCAGAAATATCTTGCCACGAGACACCAGACACGCCCATCCAGTCCGAAACTCTTCAGAGTATCAACGTAACAAACTCCGCCCAAAACGCGAATATGCTGTTGGTCAAGTTTTCCGTACAGAACGACTACTGTGACTCCACGCATACCTGGCTTGTCCCGAGTCTAGGTATCGTGGCCCCCACGTTATGCCAGCCGGACGAAGATACTAAGAAGTATGAGCTGTTTCTGGCGTCCTTTGGGAAATATTCAGCCCTCCCCAACATGGCGTGTTCGATCGAACCGATCATCACGAAGAACGTTGTAACCTATTCTACAACCACAGGCCTTTTCACGTCAACAATTGTGGAAAGGCTGGGTGGTTCGGCTGTGCCTAATGAGACTGCCGAGGCCGTCTCCTGGCTCTTTATGATTTCAATCACCAGCTGGGTACGTCGTGCTCTACTTGTCTTCGCTGATTTGCTTTACACGCACACTGACTGCAACCACCACGGCAGGGAAGTGGCCTCATCGATTCTGTACTCAGTCTCAACACGACAGGGGAGAATTCAAGAGACTTTTCCTACCGAACCGCGATCGAAGATGTGTTACGTGGGATCGTCGAATACGAGGGCAGTACATTGCGTATCTACTACTCAGCAAATGAGGCAGCCGGCCGCAGCACTGTGAACGGCACGTATAACGTTTTCCGTATGGGGTATCACCATACGCAACTCACATCTCTTCTTATTGTGCTCCCATTTATCGCATATCTGGTAATTGTCTCAGGCTGGTATACAATAAAGGGACTTAGGGCTGGTGTAGCGATTGACGATACGTTCGATCCAACAGACAGTGCTGCACTGGTTACTGCAGCAGCAGTGGGAGCTTCATCCGGGAAGCTTGATCTGGGAACACTGAAGGAGCTTGGAGAAAATCATAGTCTGGTTCGGGAAGTTAAACTTAGGTACGCTGGCAAAAAGGGACTGGTGACCGCTGAGGTGACGGAGAGCAATGAGGTTTCTAGCATAGATGCGTAGAACGATAACATTTAGCGCATCACTCTGCTGGCGAGATGAATTACCACTGAAAGCTGCCGACGTTGCCTATGGCCTTGGCTATTACGCTGATATCCACGTCACCATTCGCTTGTATGGTTATCCTCCAATTCAACCGGAAAACACGTCTTCACGTGTAGCCAATCCGTTGACCAGACGAACAAGACCCGGTGGCGGCGGATATCTCATCTTTGACAAAGTTTACGTCGCGGCAGCATGTTCTTTAGTGAATACGCCCCCACGACCATCTTCAACTTGTATAGCCTCGTGAGGACTTGATGAATTGTATGTCTTTCGACCTCGTCTACTCCAAACGCCAGACGAAACATGTAGATGATATATGGGAACAACAAACGGATGAGTCTCAGCGGAGCGGCCGGGATGATAACCGGCTCAAGCCCCTCGGTGCCGAGCGCCTACGCGACGCTATATCAAAATTTCCCATGCAAAACCTTCCACGCAACCGAAACGCCGTGTACGCCGTCTGTGTCGAGATGCAGAGAAGAAAGAAGCGCCGCCCTTAGCTCCTCAAGGCTTCGAGCCTGTTGCGCATCTGGTCCATCATAGCCTCGGCATCCTCCTCTTCCTCCTCGGCCTCGACCGGCTTGGGCTCCTGTGCAACGGGTACGGCGGGAAGCTGTTCCTTGGGCATGCGGTCCTTCAAGATCTCGCCGAGTACCTTGTCAACCTCGCCCTCTGCCTCCTCCTCTTCCAGCTCGTCCATATCCTCTGGCAAGCTCTCGCCGACCATCTCCTCGATGATACCAGCCTTCATCAGCTCTGCGCTCAATTCCTGCATCGTGCCGGCCAATTCGGGTAGTCGGATCAGGCGGTTGACGTCCTTCATGACGCCGACGCTCGCGCGGATGCTACCCTCGATCTTGCGCACGGCAAATGCTTCGTTGACCTGCATCTGGACGCTGTTGAGCTGGGCCTTCGAAGTAATGAGTCGAGAGCTTGTTTTTCGTGCGCGGATGAGCTCGCGGGCAAAGTCGCGGGCTTCCTTTTGTGCTTGCTTCGCCCGCGTGGGGTCTCGTTGGGCTCGCTTATCGGCTTGGACGATGAGTTGCTTCGTCTTGGCCTCGACTTGTCTGACTTGGTTGATGTCGCGGTCTAGTTTGCGGATGTTGGAGCGCATGAGGGCATTGCACTTTCGCAGCTGCAGGAGGGGAGTCTGGTCAGTGTCTTTGGTGTTTCGTCGGGCGGTAGAGCTGCCGTACCTGTTGCTGCGGATCGGGCTTGACGAACAGCGATTTGAGGGTCTCCATGATGGGCTGGGCGGCGGACAATGGCCGGTGAACGCCGTCAATGTGTGGAGATTCGGCTTCGAGGCGTAGGTGCGAGCGCGGGACTGATGGATGCGTGATGGGCTGTCGCCAGCCTCGTTTGTTGGCGGGTTCGATAAGCGCTGCCTTGGGTCTGGGAGCGATGTGTCGTCATTCCCTGGGTCGCTGCCTCAACTGATACGGGCCGTAGTGGGGGATTGTCGTCACGTGGAGACGCTGCAAATTGTATGCGCGTAAGAAGGAAAAGTATAATACCGGGGCGCGTCCGTGGTAAACCATGCGAATCACCAATCGGGGCGAGGAAACCTTCGGCTCACTCTGAACAGGCGGCTTGGCGGACAGCTCAAGCAACAAACTTGAGTCTAAGGTTACAGCTGCTGCTAGTGCTAGTTCATCCTGTCGACTTGTCACATCTGTCGGAAAGTGCAGAAATATCAGGATTGGGTTGTTCTGACGCAGAAAGTGACATCTCCATCGGATGGTATTCTACGGACACATAGAGGAGTCCAAGTTGGCAGGACACATACTGCGGAAATCCGCCTCGCCCGGCAATGTCGTATGCTAGCAAATGAGGCCTCGAGGTGGGGGGATCCACGATGATCTCACTGCACTTTAGATCTGATGGGAAAAAAGACGAGATGAAGCTTGATGACAAGCACGTTCTGTCTCAGATGGAGCAAACGGTACTCCGACAGCACGGTACCACAACAAGGCACTTTATGAATAGCAGGTGAATACTTCGTGGACGCCGACGAAAGGAGCAGCGCAGAAAACAAAGCTGTTTCGTATTTGTGCCGTGTTTCTCGCATGTTGCGCCTCACTCTGAGCTGCAGCAAGCACACGCACGTCCAGCGAGCCAACCCAACTCAGTGCGATGCCATGCCTATTTCGTGGGGTTGCAAGGGGGGCTGGAAGTCTACCGCAGCAGTGCTGCGCGCCCAGCCAGCACTGAGATGCCTCTTCCAATTGCAAGCAAACGTCAGCAGAGAGGGGAAAGAGCAGGGAAGGAGGTACTTTCGGCTGAGTGGGCCTCGCCCCAGAGATCGAAGTACCTGGCAGCCGCTGGAAAAGCAGGCGCGAGGCTCAGCCTGCAAGTCCAGAACTCCAGCCAGGTACCTGGCGCAGAATCCCTAGACGAAAAAAAAGCGAGTGAAGGATCTGACTGGCAGGCGGAAGGGCATGAATGGCAGACAAGCAAACTGGAAAGAGCGCGCCAGAAGAGGGGAAGGGAGTGGAGGGGATAGGATTCCTAAGCGTACAGTGCGTTCAGCCCTGCCAGGGTCCGGTCCGCAGCGGCCCAGTGCAGCACTACTGACCTGAGTACCTAAGGTGAGGTGACTTGCTTAGGAAAGGTACTGCCAGCCTAGGAGGTAGGTACAGCTCGTGGCACTTGGTGGGCTGCCGTTGCCTGCTGCTGCCGTTCCAAATCTTTCGAGCGCCTTCTACAATTGCCCGTGATCCCCTAGGCGGTAACTACAACTGGAACCCACCCCGGCCTCACCCCAACACCAGGGCCCAGCCTTTTCCAACCGTAGCCTCACAAACCCCTTCTTAGCTTCCACTCTCCTCCCCCTCCGCACACTCTGATCTTGCTCCTACCTTATTTCACACCCCTACCTACCTTACAACACAAGTCAGTCGTCCTCTGTCACAACAACAAACCACCTCGTGTGTTAACTCTTCTCCCAGGCTATATTGCAACTTCTCTTGCGATATCTGCGAAACGTTTGCGCACCCGCGTAAAATAACTACCCCTCATCCCCCGTCATAGCTCCTTACACGAATCACATCCACCACCACCAAAATGTCCGACACCACGGCAACTCCTGAGGGTACGTGCAAAACTTGACTGTCGCATTCGAGGTGCCAATCGCCGCGCCTTAAACTCCGACAGCCCATTTACCGACCTTGCCGTTGTGTGTGCGCAGCAAGCTAACAAGTCTTCAACAGTTCTCTGGGCCCAGCGCTCCAGCTCCTCCGACGAGTCCAAGAACTTCGTCTACCTGACCATCTCCGTCCCTGACGTCCCGGCCTCCAACCTCAAGCTCGACCTCAAGCCCACCGGCCTGAGCTTCAAGGGCCACTCCGACTCTCTGAAGCGGACGTACGCCCTCGACGTTGAGTTCTACGCCGAGATCGACCCCGCCGAGAGCAAAATCAACCACACTGGCAAGAACGTCGAGCTCAAGCTCCAGAAGAAGGAGCTCAAGGAGGAGTACTGGCCCCGTCTCCTGAAGGAGCCCAAGAAGGTTCACTTCCTCAAGACCGACTTCGACAAGTGGGTCGACGAGGACGAGCAGGAGGAGGCTGGCGAGGAGGACTTCTCCCAGTTCGGTGGCATGGGTACGTGAAAAAAGCTCGAACCCCACGGCGAACCCTTCTACCCCGCGATGGCGGGGCTCTCCGCCGATTTTCCAATTTCCGAGTTTCCACGTTGCTGACATATGCATTTGCAGGTGGCATGCCCGGCATGGGCGGCGCTGGCGGCGACTTCGGCGGCATCGACTTCTCCAAGCTCGGAGGCGGTGCCCCGGGTATGGAGGACGTCGACGACGAGGAGGAGGATGACGATGACATGCCCCCTCTGGAGGGTGAGGAGGACGATAAGGCGGCCCCGGCCGCTGGCAAGGCTGCCGAGAAATAAGCTGGTTCATTATTCCCCTCTTCACCTGTCGAACCCACTTCGAGAGATCGACTTTTCCCGGTATCAGAGCCCAGCTCCTTGGCAAAAGCAGCAGGCGTTTTCGGCTCTTACTTGCGGGACCGCGGAATCTACGCTCTAGACTCATGACCTGAATGTACTCTTTGATCAAGATGAAAAAGAAAGACGTTATGTGTGATGTGTGTTTTGGGGGGTTACGGACGAGAGAGAGAGACAAGGCATTCGGCGAAGAGACATGACTGTTCTCTGTCTCTTCATCCAAAGGATTTTAGCTGAGGCGGTATTCGGTTCTACCTGTACGGTTCTACCTGTACTAGGCCATTGCGGATGGTGTCGTCTGGGGACTAGGCCGATTCATCAAGTCAATTCAGCGATCTTTCTCCGCCCATTCTGTTCATCTGTGACTTGCCTAGGCGATGCTTTTGGGCACCTACGTGATGACGTCTGACCTGCTGTCAATATTTGCAGTCTCACAACACGCTGGAAAACCCTGCGACATCGATATCAATGATATTTGGCAGATCATCTACTCAAGACCGACGTAGGCCTCGCTTGCTGGCATCAATCTTAGGAATCTCGCATCACTCTCAGAATCACTCAGATTTAAACTCATGTCGGGGGCTCGGCGTTTTGTGTATTAAAGTCGCTCTGACTTTGGGGTTTGTTATAGTACATGCCCTGCTACCGAACAACCGGGGCGAAGCAAATGTATATGTCGGTACCTTGTCAGTTCTTTCGAACCGAGGGCACCATTTTGGTAGTTTTGGGTTGAGCCGAAAGGCTGGGGAGGCAATCTGTAAGTTTGAAAACCAATGCGTGTCAAAATCAAAGCCAGAATCCCGTAGCCTCCACTCGTCTACTCCCCTTCCAGCATTCTGTTGTGAGAGTCTCACGAAACGCGCAAAAAGGAAAGATCAAAGGCGCCCCCACGCGTTGTCCTTCTTCGACTTTCTCAGTACCTGGCATTCGTGGGCGTATCCGAGGCCAAGTTTATGCTTGAGCTCGGTTTACATGATGTCCTCCTCCATGGCGGCATCGCCGTTCGTGGCAGCCGGGGCGGGAGCCGCAGCATTCTCGTTGTTAGCGTTGCCAGACTCGAAGTAGTCAGCCATCTCGGAGTCAAGTTCCTCCTGAGTCTTCTTGGCGGGACGACCAGAGCGAGCACGGCGTGGCTTCTTGCCAGCCTGAGCATTTCCAGCAGCGGGACCCTTGCTGGCATTGGCGTTGCGCTTGTTGATGGCAGCCGACTTGGGCTGAGCCTTGGGCTGACTGCGAAGCTGTTAGTGTCGAGCCGGGAATGATTTGCTCATACTCTACTTACGAAGTGCGCTCAGCAAGAGTCTTGGAGGGGGGGATGACGTTGGCAGCTTGAGAAGCACTGACAACAATCTCAATCTGTCATTTGTTAGACGGTTTCATAAATAGCAGCATCATGTGTATCACATACCTTGATGGGGCGGTTGTCGACGAGAAGACCGTTCAGCTTCTGGAAGGCCTTGCTAGCGCCATCCGCGTCACGGAAGGTAATGTTCGCGATGCCGCGGCTGACGGAGTTGGGTCCGTAGGAGATTTCTACCCTCTTGATGGGTCCAACTGAAGTGAGGAAGTACTCCTGATGGAAGTCGATGTTAGTTATCCGCAAGCGCTGTATATCAATCACAATCGTCGTCTTCTAAATCCGCGCCGGGCAGGGCAAGAAACCGAGAAATCCAAGAATCGCCGGAGCATGGGACAATGGAAGCGAGCAGAGCAGTGAGCGTTAGTACGCGTGTCAGCGTCCATCCCCACAGATGCCCAGCAAAGTCAAATCGTCTCGCGCGAAGTCGCCGTCTTGTCGAAGGGTATCACCCCAATTCGGAAAAGAAACAGTCGCAGCTTAGTCTCGGAGCAGTCGGCAATGGCACTTTCGCCAATAGGCATCTTTCAGCCATATTGATCGCTCGCACAAATCCCCCAGATCCCGCTAGAATTCGAGTCATGCTAGGTCGGCGTATCGATAGCGGTGAAGCTAGATATTGGAGCCATCCTAGCCTGTACTGCGCTGATGCTCACTGCTGTGCTCGCTGGAAGGGCTTCATCTCGTGTTGCTTGCTATGCTTTGTGGACAGCATTCGCGAACCAAGCTGTTAAAGAACATGACGTGACTACCAACGTCCCATTTGTTGCAGTCTGCGCTATCAATCTTCTGAGGTGCTGACCAGGCTACCCGAGATGACGATTTCATTGCGCGACCAGGGCGTGCTCAACTTCCGATGGGCTCTGCACCATATCTCAGGAATTGCAGCATCGAGGAAGGAGTCTTGCGGTATCTTGACATATTCCAGCTGGCAAGTGGCAATGGCCACCATGGGTTTCATCTCGCTACGGCGCCGGTAGGGAAAGAGGACGGGCGAGAAATGACAGGTCGAACAAAGTCCGAGGGCTGAAGAGCCTTATCGGCAACATACCTTGATCTGTTGCTCGGAGACATCCTTGGGCTGCGGAAACGTTAGTAGGAGTTGGTAGCGATACGGGCTTGCGACTTACCAGGTTGCTCACGATGACCTTGCTGTCACCAGAGCCTTGCGAGGGCTTAGCGGCGTTGGGCTTGTTTGCGGCGGCACGCGCAGGCTTCGATGTCTTCTGAACACCGCCGACTGGGGCAGCGGCCGCAGGGCGACCAGTGGAACGGCGCTGAGAGCGACGACGGGGACCGCCGGAGGAGCGACGCTGAGTGGAGAGGATCTCGTCAAGAGACTGGTCAAGCTTGCCAGACATGGTGAATGTGAATTTGGGGGACGTTGGTTTGAGGGTATAAATGATTTTGCTGCGATGTATTTGCGCAGCTGGGTCGGTCGCTTCTGACAGGTAATCAGGCGATGGGTCGCGATGCGATGCGGTGCGTGGTGTTTTGAAGGAGAGGATCTAAGTTTGACGCGTTGAAAGTTTGCGCGAAGAGCTTTCTTGTGAGAAGTGGTCGGTCCGGGAAAAAAAGCAGTGAGGAATACAGAAGCTGCAGAGCAATGGTGGTAGCGCAGCGATGGAATGAAAAATTATTATGTGAAAGTCGAAGTGGTCGTGACGGTGGTCGAGATTTATGAGTCTTGTCTTGGGAAAGGAGAAGTGGTTGCGGAAGGAGGATGGAACAGTCGGGCGCGGGCGAAAAGGGAAAGGAGGCAGGCACGCGGGACAGTTTGCCAGCGGAGCGCCTGAGCCAAGCAGGACCAGGCTGCGGCGCGCCTGACAAAAACAAGAGGGGCCTGAGGCGGAGGCGTGATTGGATGGGTCTAATCTAAATTGGGAAAGACCCGCTTGAGCTGTTGCCTTCACAGTGTTCCGACCCAGCGCAGGAAGCAACGGTCCGCATCTGAGGCCGCACATCCTTCAGCTGGACCTTACGTAAGGTGTAGGCGCAACTCTACAGCTCAACTCTTAGTGCTTGCCCAGCTCATCAAGCTTGCCCATGTTCATGATAAGCAGCACCATTTTGGCCTCAAATTGTATGCCCAAGGCCACACCACTCTAGTTTTCTGAATTTGACGACTTTTTGTGTTCGAATCGTCTTTGAAGCAAATCCCAGGCAGTTTTGCTTTAACAGCTTTGAGGAAAGAATGTGTAAAAGCTATATTGTTGAAACCGACGTTTCTTTCTCTACATTTTGGTACTACCATGTGCAAAAAATCTTACCAGTCTCTTTGGTTAAGCGTGTCATCCTTGTGCAGGGGCCATGCTAATCTTCTCTGTATCGTTACAATTTGACCATATGCCCGCAGGCGAAAATAAGGGACAGTTTTTTGCATTATAAGGCTGACGGGTCGACGAAGGAGCAGCTGACAACACCATCTCAGGCGGCGCGCCGCGGGGCTGAACACTGTCAGTCATCCAGGGTAATTGTCACGTCAAAGTTCCGAAAAGGTTCCTATGCTCAAATTTGTGCTTGAATTATGTAGACCATGCGACATCTGCTGTCGCAACGGGTATATCAGACCCCATCGTCTCATGAAATAGACTGCCGTGAAGCGTTCTATCGCTGCTGTGCCTTTTGCTTGTAGTTCTTTCACACATGGAGGGTCTCTGCGGCATCGTCTGTCCGCAGCATCCTACCATCCCCCGATCTCGTGATGTGATGCCTCGAAATTGGACGTCGTCTTGTACCGCACGACGCTCGAAGTAAAGCAGATACTTCAAGAAGCCGCCGCGGATCATCGTACAATCAATTGTTTGTTCCTTGCTCTATGTCCCGACTGGCGGTAAGCCGACATGTATTTATGAAGAGCCCTTGACCTTGGCGGGCTTCTCTTGGGTCTTGTCGTTTTCCTTGGAGTTGACCTCAACGAAGTGGTAAAGGATGATCAATACCATGGCTGCGGAGCCAAGGAAGATCGCAAGGCGGTAGAGATCGTTGTCGGAAATCATGGTGGACGAGGAATTGGCTGAGCGACAGCAATAGGGGTGTACGTCGAGAATGGGTAGCTTTGGAGGGTGACTGTTCCAATGGGTCAGCTCCTTTTTTCCGTCATCCGGTAGTGCAATACGAAGCAGTTCCTCTTGACTTACGCTGAGATTTTCCGACTCGAAATGCGACGAATTGACCAGCTTCTACGACGTGTTGCTGAGAGATGGTTGCGCCGCGCACATGGGTTTGAGGTTGGTGTTGAGCCGAACGGGACAGGTAGACAACTGGAGCTCGCCGCGCTAAGGCCTGCCGCCGAGTGACAATGGACTTGGGTCCTCCGCAGTAAGTGAGGTACGTAGACGGTAGCGCATCCCAGTCCCGGCGTGAGCCAGGCCTCCTTGACGCTCCGCCCCCACCAACGCAAGCCCTTCACGTGACCCGCCCACTGTGACTTGAACTTCTGACTTCATCCTGCCTCACACTCTGCCTGGATTTCTCGAGAGCCGACTTTTTTGCGTCCTGTCGATCGAAGCGGATCCTGCCCTCCTCGACACATCAAGGCAACCATTCCCATCGAGACCTCCAAAAACCCCCAAAAACCGACCGACACAGTCCTTACAGAAGCCTCCGGGCTGCCCCCGCCACAGTTTTCTAGACCCCGTCGAATACCCCGCCAAGATGCCTCCCAAGAAGAATGACAAGGGCGCTGCCAAGAAGCCGTCGGCTTCCAAGGCGGTGGAGGACAAGACCTTCGGCATGAAGAACAAGAAGGGTGGTGCTGCTCAGAAGCAAATTGCTCAGATGAACGCATCTGCGAAGAACGGCGGCAGCGCTGACCAAAAGCGCAAGGAGGCGGAGAAGGCGCAGAGGGAGAGAGAAAAGAAGGCCGCGGAAGAGGCGAAGAGGGAGTTGGACCTCCTCATGAACAAGCCTGCTCAGATCCAGAAGGTTCCGTTTGGCGTCGATCCCAAGACTGTCGTTTGCATTTTCTTCAAGAAGGGCAACTGCGAGAAGGGAAAGAAGTGCAAGTTTTCCCACAACCTAGACGACGAGAGAAAGACAGAGAAGAGGAGCTTGTACACCGATACCCGTAAGGACGAGGAAGAGAAGAAGAAGGCAGAGACGTCCGCCGACTGGGACGAAGAGAAATTGCGCTCGGTCGTTCTTTCCAAGAAGGGAAACCAGCAGACAACAACGGACAAGGTCTGCAAGTTCTTCATCGAGGCCATCGAAGACGGCAAATACGGATGGTTCTGGGTGTGTCCAAATGGCGGCAACGAGTGCAAATACAAGCATGCTCTGCCACCAGGGTAAGTGAAGTCGACGCAGAACCCAAGACCATTACTAACCTAACAACCTGTAGATTCATCTTGAAGACCAAGGAACAGCGTGCCGCCGAGAAGGCTTTGATGGACAAGTCACCCCTCAAGACTCTGACCCTCGAAGACTTCCTCGAGTCCGAACGACACAAACTTACCGGGACCCTTACACCCGTCACCACCGAGTCGTTCGCCAAGTGGAAGAAGGAGCGCATGGACAAGAAGGCTGCCGAGGAAGCAGCCAAGAAGGCCAAGGAAGCTACTGGTCGTGCTCTGTTTGAGAGCGGCAACTGGCGCACAACAGAGGACGACGACGACGCCAGCGATAACGACGACGACGACGGTGTTTGGAATCTGGAGAAGCTGCGCGCAGAGACTCAGGCTCTGCGGGAGAAGAAGGAAGAGGAACGATTGCTGGTGCTCAATGGCGGCGTCTTGCCTCCAGCAGCGGATGCGGCTCCTGGGGCATCTGGTTCTTGAATTTTTTACCAGCGAGACAACCAAATTGTACACGCCTGAGGCGGCGAGCATCACCACGAAACGGGCCGATTCCGAGCACCTGAAGACCAGGTTATCCGGCGGCCATGTGGATGTGACGCCAAGCCACATGGCGGAACCGTCTACTTTTCAGCCCTAAGATCAATGAAGTATGACTACGTTCGCGACGTGCATACCACGTTATGAAGGACCGAAATCGTGAAAGCTTCCACATTGAGAGGGTAAGGATGAGGGTCGCTAAAGGCCCCTAGATACGCCAGACTGAATCTGTTGATTACTTCTCAATTACAGCGCAGGTCCCCCTTGGCCTAGCTACAAGCACGCTATCTTAGAACTTCTCAACGTACGGTCTGATGTCAACCTCTTGCGTGAAGGCGGACCGGTGCTGTGTGTGCAGAAACCAGTAAGTGTCGGCGATCTGGAAGAATTGTTAGCTTGGAGTTTAGCTAGACAGATCGAGTACACGTACGGCCTCCGGTGAGATCTTGCCATCTTCCACGCCGTCGTTGACCTGGAACTCCTTGCCCCATGGCGTGTCGATACCTCCGTCGATGATGGCATGAGCCACGTGCACGCCCTTGGGGCCGAATTCTCGAGCCAGGGACTGACCCAGAGCGCGCATTGCAAATTTGCCCGCCGCAAAGGAGCCAAAGTAGGCAGAGCCCTTGAGCGAGGCTGTGGCGCCGGTGATGATGAGAGAAGGCGGGTGCGGGGAGTCTGCGACTGAGTCCAAGAGAAGAGGCAGCGTCTTCTGGGCAAAGGAGAAAAAGCCCTTCCTGCATCCGAGGTCAGCACGCTCACTAGCTTCGAAGGTGACATGTGCACGTACGGAGCGGCATCTAGACTTGTGTCAAGGTCCTTCTTCGTAAGCTCCAGGAAAGGCTTGCGAGCGAAGCCTGCGTTGACGTTGTAAATGGCAGCGGCGAGTCTGCTACCAGGCAATTCCTTCTTGATAGTCTCAAAGGCGGCATTGATGGCGGTCTCATCCGTCGCATCGGCCGTGATACCAATGGCCTTGCCACCAGACTGCTTGATCTCATTCACGATGTCATTATAGCTCTCCGGCTTGCGGGCGAGAAGCACAACGGGGTAGGTCTGCGCAAAGCGGACGGCAGCGGCACGGCCTGGCTCAGTCGTCAGCTTTACTATCCAGGCTCGTCATCGTAAGAATTGTAGATTACCTGTTCCGGAACCGGCTCCGGCGATGATTGCGTAGAAGGACTTGGACGTCATATTTCTTGGTTGTAGGTACTCGACTATCTGTTCTAGGCGTTCAATGACTGGGGTCATTCGTTGGATTAGGGGTTGGTTATCGAATCGGGAGTGGTCAAGGCAGTTCAACAATTGTAAGACTAGATGAAGCTCAGTGAGGGGTGAAGCATTTATGTCGATATGGGCTCCAGGCTAGACGCCGCAGCCCGGAAGGGGATTAGACCATTGGTCGGATGCATGACGGCATGTGCGGAGGGCCGAACGGGACGACCGATTAATAATACCCATCTCCTCCCTCCGGCTGCTCCAATTACGGCCTCCGATCCGGTCCGACCGAACACAATAGAACTCAATTCAGAGTTTATAAGCCCGAAATTCATGATTACAGTCACTCAATTCGATTTCTCATGGTCTCTTGATGTTCTCCTGTCACGATGGCTTACATGTGCGATTGAAGGCTCGGTGAGAGGTGATGTATCTGGCGTGTCCCAGCTCCATGTATCTGTCAGGTCATGATTTTCGGTGGTAGATGGTGCCATGGCCAATTTGATGCAAATATCCCCAACTAGATTGTATTTCAGTTCCATTTGAGCACTCGTATACTTACAGATCTTAGAAAGACGTTGTTTTTAGAAACGGATGAGCCTATCCGCAGAGCGGGGGAGCTGTCGCAGAGCAGGTGCAAACCGCAACTCAGCCCGATTAGGTAACCCCGCTTATTTTTCCAGTGTGAGGCGCGCTGTCTGTCTAACCTGCCAACGCGTCTTCACCTCACTCCATCAAACCCTCGGCTCAACGTCCTTCGCCTAACGGTCTTTCAGCGAGTCTTGTTGCTCAGACATATCATTTAGTCTAAATCATACCAGTCCGTCTCTCGTTTCCGGCTATTCTCAACTCCTCAGAATTACCCCTCCAACTCATTTGATCCAAAATCGGTGGGCTCCACGAGTTCGTCTGAGCTGAGATCCCTGGATCTCCCAACTTTGCTCAATTGCAATCTCACCAAGGTTGCCAAGATGCCGCCCCCGCTACCTTCAGAGACGAAATCAAAGTATGGTATTTCTCGCAGTCACATACCTCTGCCTCGACAAGGCACGCTCGATGGATTCTTCAGCCGTCGTTCGGACAGCAATTTCCCACCGGCCAGAACACCTGCTGCAGCGAAGAAGACATCCCCGGCACAACCCGCACAGAAGTCGAACTTCGCTGTCGTCATCAAGTCCAGTCCCAGGAAACCCTCGCGAACAACTCCAACAAGAACGGTAGAAGATGATGCTGACGACTTGGTCATATCCGACCTCTCTCCTCAATTCAGGAGGCTCGCAGCTCAGGCGGCTTCAAGTGTAAGCCTGTCCAAACCGGCCTTGCCAGACATGGACATTGATGAGCCAGAGGATGAGGTGGAGGCCGAGGCTGAAGCTGAGGTTGAAGAAGCAGTGTCGTCTGGCGCAACTCCTCAGCCGCAGCCAAAGAGACGCGGACGGCCCAAGGGGGCTCTCAATAAGTTCCCGCGGGATGCAGGAGAGGGACCAAGGAAACTACGCCCGGACAGGCCAAAGGCAGGTCAAATGTATGCGGGAAAGCAGAAGCGGCGTGGTCGACCACCAAGGGCAGCTTCGCCTCAACCGAGGGCCATTTACGAAGGTCTGAGTCCACACTTCAACGTCTACATTTGCGAATGGGAAGGCTGCGTGGCTGAGCTTCACAACTTTTCTACCCTTCAGAAGCATGTTGCTGTAGCACACGCGAGAAACCAGCCGTATCGGTGCCATTGGGCCAAGTGCGCCAAACAGCAACCGCCTCGCGACTTCCCCACATCAGAAGACCTCGAATCACATATTGAGGATCTACATATGCTTCCTGTCGCCTGGCAGGTAGGGGACGGGCCGCAGGTGTCAGTCAAGCGATATGCTCCCAATGATGGGACCGAGCTCCCAGACTACCTTTTCGATGAGGCGGGCAATCAGATCACACCGTCGATCCAGGATCAGCGAGAGGAAGATTTCCTTACTTGGCGCAACAACAGGCGAAAGCTGAAGGACCTTCTTCTCCTGCGAGATCAAAACCTGCCAAGTGAAGAAGAGGATAACGGAGCAGAGGACATGCCGGTAGACGAATGATGTGGCTGACCGTTGCACAACGTGACACATTTCGTCGTCGACAGCGACAGGAGGCACTGTAACCACAATACGGGCGAGGCGACTTAAGCATGCTAGGAGGAACCAAGCTTCGTGGCATGGTTTCGGATGAGGGTTGACCGACTGCGCCTCCCTAGGGATAATGGGCACGTCAAGACAACGAGGGTGGCCGTTGCATTTTAGTCCCCCCCTGCAAAAATCGGTCAGACGGGCACATTCGGATACTGGGAGAGGTCGCTCTGCGGTTTTCCACTTCCCCAGACTGTGCGGTGGGCAGTTCGCCGGGGCATCGTGCTGACGGGCGGCGGAAGCGGATGCGCCGGAGAGTCTCGTCTCCAATATGGACGCATGGTTGATTGTTAGAAGGGATGACTTGGCATTGCGGCTCTTGCGAAATTGATGGTTCAGGTTGAAGCGGGACGGGAGCAGGGCGCTACAGCGGATTGGAAATGCATTCGACCTTACATCATCGGCGGGGATGTGCGGCGTTTTGTGGGGGAGATTGCTGGATGTTGCATGAGGAGGCGAGTGGAGTGACACCTCAGCATCCAGGGAGGGCCGCTGTTCAATAAGAAACAAGTCCCAGCCCTTTCGCCTTCAGCAGGGGCGGCGGGAAAAGAGGCCGAATACCGGATCGCAGTTTGCATCGAGTTTCGAGAGTTTCTTGCATGGTGGCAGTCAGGCAGGCGACGCTGATTTGTTTGAGAGGTGATTTTCGCCAGGCTCAACACCCTCAGACGCAGGAAACAACAAAAATGACCTGAAGATCCGTTCTAGAATGTTTCCAGTGCGGCACGGTTGGAGGGTCGGCGGACGGACCACTGCACAGCTGTGAGATTGGGACGCCTGATTTGTCGAAGAGCAGACGGAACCAACTTCAGCTTCGGAAGGTGGCGATGGGTTTAGGCGGGTTTGCGGCGTTGGCGTGCTCTGCGGATTTTTGCTTATTGATTAGATCGCAGACGAATCCGCGTCTCTGAGGACGGCTTCGCCAGTGAGATGTCGTTCCTGGTGTAAGGTAGGGTAGAATGGACCGATTGAGGGGAAAAGGAGGGGAGGAAACAGGCCGGCGCCACTGATGGCACCGCAGTACATGGCTCTAGCTTGAGATATGGCGCTGAAGGAAGTATCCGTAGCGCGGGATTCCTCGGCACGATACGGGAACAGGGTACCTTTTGGGTCTGGCACGGTGTGTAAAGTAGTGCCTCAGTCGTTCAGGTAGACGAACGGGTGTCTTGGAGGTATCGCGAGTGTCTTATTAGACACAGAGACAAGCTCAATCCAAAGTGTGTCCCAAGCCTACGGCATGGAATGTCCTGCAAGGCCAAAGGCAAAGAAAAGGCGCCCAACATCTGTGCTCTCATGGCAATGCGTCCGATCAATTGCTGGTCTCGGTTGTTTTTGCACGACCCCAAACACCCCAACATCAGCAGCAGCCTGCGGCAGAATCCCACGACGGCGGTTGTCCGGTGATGCTCTGGTTTGTTTTCCGCCTGGCACGTATTAATCGCCGGCGGGCTTTCGTATCGTATCGCGAGCTACGGATACCTTGCGCCGCCAGCTATCTTGGCCCCTGCGTGCATGGGCTTGCGCTCAGTTCCAAGCCATTTGGACTAGGCGTCTGTTTTCCCGTGATTTTCGCCGGATTATGTCCTCCTACTCCATTCGCGGGCCGTTGTGATGGGCAGGTAGAGGTGCATTACTCAGAACGGCTGAAGTCGACGAGGATTGGAAAAGGATAACGAACGGTTGTTTGATGCAACGGCACAAATGATGGGCAAAGCAGCGAGGGATAGAGTTGGAGAAGCAGGCCAGGGGTCAGGCTGTGGACAACTTCAGTGCTCAACTGCGAAGAAGGAAAAAGGTTGATTGCTGGGAGACAGTAAGGCAGGTACTGCAGAGCTACCAGGCGGGTACCTACAGCCACAATTGGGACGAAGACGACGGGGATTCTGACGGCGATCGAATGGATGGTTCTCTGGAAGAGGAGGCGATGACGATTGTGGTTGGCCTGCTGGGTAAAGAACGGCAAAAAGGGCACCAATCGCAAAGGCGAAGCCCGCCCATCAGCCAGCCCACGAGCCGTGAGCCATTTGCCCATGAAGAAGGAGAAGAAGCAGAAGGACCTGCGAGATTGGTTGAATCGCTCACCTCACGAAGAGGACGACTGCCCGGCCGTGGGCGTGGACCGGGCCCAGACAGCCCAGAGACCGGGGCCCGCCTTCACCGGACACCCCTGCCAGCAATCCGTCCTATTCTGGTGCAGCGTGTGCCAGACGCAGTAAACTCCCTTGCAAGTCGTCGCCCGCCCTGGTGCTGGTGGCCTCTGCCCCCGAAGGCGTGTTTCTCGCTGGCTGCCCGCCGTCCTACACTACAAAGTCCTGCGCCTGCGCTGGGCTACCCCCTGTGCCTCAAGCTGCACTGCCCGGTAGCAGGTAGGTAGCTCAACGAGGGCGATGGGCAGGGAGCGCCGTCAGTATGTAGTACGCGCGAGTACCTCCCTAGCGAGGAGGAGCAAGCCGAAAAGGCCATGCTCCCACGCGGGCTGCGCCAGCACCGCGGTCAACCAGGCAAGCCCAGCCCGCTGTCCGCCTCAGCGGGCCTGGACACTTGCACTCCACCACCATAGGCAGGTACCTACGGCGGGACACTGAACCCTCTCGGGTCGGGTCCCTCGTCCACCAGCGGCGGCCGGCCACCCAGCCCAGAGCCCAGAGCCCAGAGCGAGCAGGAACAGCGGGGGGGCGCCCAGGTGTGGGTAAGTGTGTGGTGTGTGAGAGAGCGGGAGGCAGAGAGCAGAGACCGACTGTGAGAGAGCGAAAGGCGTGGTGGTGTGAAGCCGCCGCAGTTCAGTCCATCCAAGAAAGGCGCTATGCCCACATTACTAACTCACTCCAACTTTCCCGTCACCTTACCATCCCGTCCATACCTACCGACCTGCCTACCTACTTACTACCTACCTGCCATTTACCTGCCTTTCCTCCAGCCTTGGTACCTACATTAGATTTACCAACGCTACCTACCTACCTTACCTACTTACACCAACCAACCTTTCTGCTCCCGCCGTCCATCTTCTTCCACCTACCTCCACCTCGCCTACACCTCTCCCTCTCTCTCCACGTCCGACCTGGCTGCTGGCTCTCTTCCCCCTCACCTCGCTCCTCGCGTCGTCACCGTCTACCTTTCTCTCCGACACACTCGGCCCTCTTCACCTCTCCTGCAATTGTCCGCTCAGCCATGGCATCGGTCGCTTGATTGCGCACCCCCGAGATTCCGATATGCCTGCCAGCCGAACCCATCAGAATGGCGCCGCCCAGTTCAATCAGAAGCTGAAGAACCTCTTTCGCATCAACCTCAACAGCGGCGCCGACCGAGACAGGGAGAAGTCCTCCACCGCCCACGTCCACTCTTCCCAAGATGCTGCCCCCACGCGCCCCGAAGTACGGAGCAAATTCGGAAGCAGCTTCTTCAAGGGCACCGTTGGCCGATTGAGAACAAACACCACCGCCAGCGAAGGAAACCCTCTCGACGAGGCTCTGAGCCCAACCGCCCACGCGAACCCCTACTTTGCGCACCAAGGCCAGCCGGGCCTCCGCCATCACAACAACGAATCCGTACCACCCAGTCCCCCAGATACCCCGAATTTCAAGATCCAGGGCCCCGACGGCGGCCCAGAGCAGACCACAAGCGCCGGCAGGGAGGAATTGGCCCGGAAACTTAGGAGAGTTGCCAGCGCACCCAACGCCCAGGGTCTCTTTTCAAAGGGCAAGGGCAGCGCCGAGCGTCCGGCGACCGCCGAGCTGGCCAAAGATCCCCTCCTCATAAACAAGGACTCGGGCACCCTCGAGATGGTTGACTCGGCGAGTATTAACGGTTCCGCCTCCGCCTCGAACCTGGGCGTCCCGGATAAGGACACTCTTGGCAACTTGCCACCACCCAATCGCAACAGCCTCGCCTTCAGGCGGACGTACAGCTCCAACTCCATCAAGGTCCGCGACGTCGAGGTCGGCCCTCAAAGCTTTGACAAGATCAAGTTGATCGGCAAGGGCGATGTCGGCAAGGTCTACTTGGTCCGTGAGAAGAAGAGCAGTCGGCTCTACGCAATGAAAGGTATAATCTCTCAAAGTGAACGTGTGTCGCCAACGTGAAGCTGACTCGTTACAGTGTTGAGCAAGAAGGAAATGATCAAGCGAAACAAAATCAAGCGTGCTCTCGCTGAGCAGGAGATTCTGGCCACGAGTAACCACCCCTTCATTGTGACGCTCTACCACTCGTTCCAATCCGAGGACTACCTGTACCTCTGCATGGAATACTGCAGTGGTGGAGAGTTCTTCCGAGCACTCCAGACCCGCCCTGGCAAATGCATCCCCGAGGATGACGCTCGCTTTTATGCCGCTGAAGTCACCGCGGCCTTGGAGTATCTGCATTTGATGGGCTTCATCTATCGCGACTTGAAGCCAGAGAGTAAGTTGACCGCAAACGACTGCTTACCAATCGGTTGCTGACGGCATCGCAGATATCTTGCTCCACCAGTCGGGCCACATCATGCTTTCGGACTTTGATTTGTCTAAGCAGTCTGACCTCGGCGGTAAGCCCACCATGGTCGTCGGCAAGAACGGTGCCAGCAATATGTCAATGCATGTCGATACCCGATCGTGCATCGCAAATTTCCGCACCAACTCATTTGTCGGAACGGAGGAGTACATCGCACCGGAGGTCATTAAGGGTAGCGGCCACACAAGTGCGGTGGACTGGTGGACACTGGGCATCTTGATCTACGAGATGCTTTACGGCACCACTCCCTTCAAGGGCAAGAACCGCAATGCAACCTTTGCGAATATCTTGAGAGAAGATATCCCCTTCCCGGATCACGCCGGGGCTCCGCAACTGACTAAGTAAGCTGCCAACCGGCTGGATTCCACAGAAACATTGCTAACGAGTCTACAGTCTCTGCAAATCTTTAATCCGCAAACTCCTGATCAAGGATGAGAACAGGAGGTTAGGTGCCAAGGCTGGTGCTTCGGATATCAAGGCGCATCCGTTCTTCAGGACGACTCAGTGGGCGTTGATCCGCCACATGAAGCCGCCAATTGTACCCGTTGCAGGCCGCGGTGTTGACACAGTCAACTTCCGCAACGTGAAGGAGAGCGAGAGTGTGGATCTCAGCGGATCCAGGCCGATGAACGCGAAGGGAGTGCCATTGGACAGCGGCCTGGCGACTCCTGGTGGTGAGGTTGCTGATCCTTTCGAGGAGTTCAACAGCGTAACCCTCCACCACGAAGGAGACGACCATTCGAGGTGAATGGCGGAGACTAACGTGGTTTCGAAACCCATCCCTGCGGTCTGCGCATGGTCACCCGTCTGTCAGATCTGAACAACCAACAAGGCTATGTATCAAGAACTTCACGTTAATGGGTGAGAAGGGGTGGATCCTCTAGTACGAGAGAGAGGGAGAGAGATGCATCAGGGGCAAGGGTTTGGGTGCTGCTCAGGGTCATGGACTATCATTTACAGCGACGAGATTGGAGAGAGGAAGAAACACGCCAGAGAATTTGAACAGGAGAACGAAGGGTATGAACGAAAAAGGATATCACTCATGCCTCGAATTGCAAAGGCGGAAAGAAAAACTACTTAACGACCCTTCGGACCTCCTTGGGATTCTCACGACGAAAACAAAACCAAACCAGCAGCATATGGTCTCCGCGCCTTCATCATTGGGAGTTATTTTGTTTTTGCTTGGTCGCCTTTTTTTTTCTTGTTGATTTTGTTTTACTGGAAACCAACCCCTGGCGTTTATCGAGTGGGATACTCAAACAAAGAGACAGACAGAGTCAAGAGAGAGAGAGAATGAGAGAGGCAAGTGTCGTGCGCGGGGGTGGGTGAATGGAAAGGAAACTAGGGGTTGTCGTAGTTGTTGAGGGGAGGAGCGATATATTGCTGTAAACCCTTTGGCCATCATTACTACCATCCATGAATGAAACGTAAAAACTCGGACTCTGCCTTGTGCCCGTGAGGTTTGTCTGTGAGTAGCCGCAGATGGGATAGCTTTCGGTGGGACGGGCCGGCTGAGCGGACGTCTGGACTGGCGTCATCCGAGGGTTGGTCATCGGGGCCCAGGACTGGTTTGAACGCGGGACGAATCGACTTGGAAGGGGGTTCTGGTGGTTGAATGTTGAATGCGATCCAGAGGTCAGGATAGTCTCAATTACTGACAGGTGGGACTTGGGAAGACGGGTCATAGCTAGGCTCACGGACTACTTTGATCACATGTTGTGTGCTGAAGCTGTATTCCCTTCAGACGCGGATATATCTCTGTTTTTGAGGAATTACTACAGCCCGCGTAAGCTTCCAACGCAACAAAACCTCAACTCTATCTGGCAGCAAGGCTATTGCTAGTACAAGATCGCCCTCTTTTTTTTCTGAATACTTCGGACGCCCTGATAGTTGACGCCATCCTGTTATCGCTGTCCGTGAGTCTGAGCGCATTTCAGCAGCTCCCTTTCCCCCTCGTATCGCTATTCACATAATGACTAAAGCACTGGTACAGTCACGGTCTCTCTTTTTTACTCTCTCACTCACTGTTTTACCACTGCTTTTTGCTTGAGACCTGTTGTCTCCAGAGTCGCTCAACTTCCTGGCAGTGTTTCCTCTCATCACCTTGTGCTGGGAAACTCCATTTAAAGCTTGGCCTTCAAGAGCTGTTGAGCCGTGGCCTCCTCGTTCAGGTTGACCTCGCCCGTCTTCTCACCGTGGCCGAAGAAGATGACCTGGACGGTCAAGTCGTCACTACGTAGGGTGTTAGTCCTGAATCAAACGAAGCAGATTCAAAAACCGAGATAATAGACTTACCGATAGCGTCTAGAAAAGGGGGAGGGTAGGGTCAACAGGGCGCACACTTGCTCCTCGTTCTTTCCACCAAGAGCGTTGCGCACGAGGTGGGTGGCTACGTTCTTGTCCTTGACGACAAACCGTTCGGGGGCGTCGGGGGAGATGCCCCATTGCTGGAGGCGGATAGGCGTCTTCTGCCCGTCAACTCCCTTGTCGTTGGCTTGCTCAACAGGCAGACCAGATTGCTTGGATCCGAAAATCTTGGACCAGGCCGAGTCGAACTGCGAGCCGGAGCCGCTGGCCTGGCTCTCGATCCACTTGCCGACGAGACCGACGACCTCCTCGTTGGTCAGCATCTCCCACAGGCCGTCAGTGGCCATGACGACGAAGTCCCCGTTCTCGGGCTCAATCTTAGTCGTGGTGACGACAGGCTCGGCGGTGACGTAAGGAGGCGTCTTGAGGAGGGGCGAGGCAGAGCGGGCGAAGAAAGACTCTCTGAGGCGGTTGGTGATGTCCCGACTCCACTTGTAGCTGGCGTCGCCGAAAGCGCGCGTGGGCTCCAGACCACCGAGTACGCGGCCATTATGCACGACGCGGTCCTCGCCCGGGTGGAGCTTGCGCATGCGCGTGGCCTCGTCGGGGTTGCTGCCGGTCTGGTCCACGGAGAGAGCGGTGGCGGTCCACTTGCCGTTGGATGATCGGCGGCCGAGTACAGCACGCGAATCGCCGGTGCAGGCGACGCGCAGAAGCTTCGATCGGCTATCGTAGAAGGACAGGAGCGCACAAGAGCCCGACAGGGCAGGCGCGAGGAGTTCAGCAGCCATGGTCTTAGAGCCAGCCTTGAAAACCCTGTCGACGCTCTGGTTGACGATCTCATCGTCCAGACGGGTGAAGCCGGACTTGATGGCCGCGTCGATGGCCTCGGCGGGCGGAGACAGGTCTTTGGACGCCTGGTACGTAGTGTTGAGCTCCTTGGCCACGGAGAGAATCAACTCCTGGCGCAACTTCGCAGATGTGGTCCAGCCGCTATCGCTTGGTTAGCAACTACGAATGCTCCATTGAGGGCACGCAAACTTACGCATGACCGTCGAAAACGCCCCAGAACATCCAATCATTGCTATTTCCAACTGCGCCAGCCGCCTTGTTGGGGACCTCGACGATCTTTTCGGCGTGGTCGTCCTCGATGGGATCGTTGCTAGGTAGCTGGACCAAGTCATATCGGACGACGCCCTGTCCTCTGTTGACCATGAAGGACTGTTCCGTCTTGCGCAGTTTCTGGGTGGCCTGCTCCGGGGTCAACATCTCGATAATCTTCCGTCCGTCGTCGCTCGACGTCTTCGATATCGGTCCCTCTCCGACAAAGGTCCCCGTGTGTAATTGATCGGCACCGACGACTAGAACGGTGCGCGTAGGAGCAGCGTCGCCGGCGGGGCCGGTCGCGCCAGACGTGAAGCTTCTTGTCAAGTGTGACTTGTTAATAGCTGTCCCGTTGTACGAGTACCATGCGCCGTAGCCGACGAGGCCAGACACGAGGGCGACAGAAAATCGGCGGAAATACATGGAGGAATTCAGCTGGTCAGCATGCTCGGAGGAAGTTCGTTGAGGAGAGGATCGCAGGACGGGTCGGGTTGAAAAGGAAGACGATGGAGGATAGCGTTCGAAGAGGCCTCGCCGGCTGTTGCGTGCGAAGCTACGGGCCGTACATCGGTAGGTTGTCCGCAAAGCCCTTGCTGCTGCGCGATGCATTTGGGGCGAGCCGGGAGGAGCGAATTGCAGCGTTCGGACTGGAGGGCGGCCCGAGTCCAATGGAGGTCAGGAAGCAGTCGTGAGATGCGTTTGAGGCGATGCTGTCAGGGTTGAGTGGGAGTGTGTGCCAAGACGTCGGACGTGCCTCAGGCTAAGGTGGTGGTAGGTCAGTGTAGTGTGTTCTGGGGGGGAACCACAGCGACGGGCGGGCGTTTGTCGTGTCGGTTTGGCCCAGTATCCGAATGGTGCACACAGGACGATAGGGAGCGGCAAGACCAAACGACAGGGAGGACTGAGATGGCAAGCACGGGCAGGGCCAACAGCAACCACGGCAAGAGGTAAATGGAACAACTAGGACGACAACGGCAGGGACGGACGTTGTGTCGTTAGCTTCTGATGAGTGCGATGATGCTAAGTTTAGACTCGTCAGAACAGCAAGCTGGTTCAAGACGTCGCTCTGCCGGCGGGCGGTGAGCAATACGACACCAACACCAGACTGGGCAAGTCAGGTTCTTTGTGTCGAAGGATGTTTCAGCGATTTAGCTCACAGTGAGAGCTCTTAAGGTGAAGGGTAAAAGTAAGGTAGGTAGAGGTTCCGATCATCCACTGGGCCCGAGCTGGAAGCTTGCCGGTAGCTTCATTGGTTCATTCGTCCAAATGCACGTACTTACAAGGCCCCGCCATGCGAACCCCAGATCAGATCCTCCACACCTGGCGCATCCTGCCTCCTGGTCCATGTTGTGTCGTGCAATGGGTGTCATGAGTTTGGCAGCTTGTCACGTAAGTAAGGTATGCATAATTTGACCCATTCGCAAATTGGCACATTGGCCTGCCGGAAAACCGCTGTCTTCCTGCCTAGCCAAGCTCGAACCAACAAGGCAATGCTGCCCGTCGCCTGAGTTCACGAGCTTTTGTGCCCGTTTGGAGCGCATGTATTTTGCTTCGCATCTAGTCGCCAAGTGTCTCGCCATGGCCTGGGCAAATCGGCTCCAAGGCCCCCTATGCCATGGAGACGCGCATAGGTATCATGTTACGAGCATTTCCAAAAGTTACACGGTGATTAGGAAAGGTTGAAATTGAGCTTTTTTCATCATTCCCTGCTCTTAATTAAAGGGTATCTGCTCTTGGTCGTATGCTTCATCATTTGCCCATGCAGCCGTATGTCTTGTGCGCAAGGACACCTCCGTTGTTCTTTCAACCGTGTCTGTCAAAGTGCCAGCGTCTTCTTTTGTCCAGATGTATCGTTTCGTCATCTAACTTCCTTCTATTCCTGGTTGCCAGCTTGATCGCCCCAGTCAATCTCTTGTTGCAGTACTATGCTGTACACGCTAGCCTTCAGAAGGGTGAAGACCAAGCTCGTCTTGCGCTCTAGTTCGCGAAGACCATCCAGGATTTCGGTGCTGGGGGAGCTGCTCAGATCCTCTAGTGTAGATGCCAGCTGCGTGGACAATCAAGTCAGCATACATGGCTCATCAGAACGGCGAGAGGGCTCCTATGGACAAACCTTTTTCATGTTGTCCGCCAGTTTCTCGTACTCTTCAAGAACCTCCGCCTCGAGGGGCGTCAGCTCAGGCTGCTGTTGGTACATCGTCGATTCCCTTGGTTGTTCCATGGTCGCGGATACAGGATGCGAGTCCAGTGGCCTCGTGGGGTGTTGAGGTAGAGAGCGTTGTCGGCGGTCGATGTTTCGGTGAGTCGCGCTGGACGCGTCTAACCCCGCCGGAAGACGACCGCAAGATAAAGCAACCCCCACTTCGGCGAAGGTCTCGGTGAGAGACCAATAGGATGCAAGCGACTCAGGCACCACATCTGATGACCAATTTAGCGACTATAGTCAGTCAGTCTTCTCCTTGTTTTCTCAACATTCGCACCTCCTCATTCCAAGACAAGACGAGCGGTAAAGAGCACATCTCCCACGCGTCGCAAGCACCGAATGCGCGTGGTACGGCTTGACGTGGCAAGGACTGTTGATCCCCTTGGATAGCTTCGAAGCTAAGGCTCGCCAAATGTCGAGCCTGTCATTTTACGAAGAAGCCACCATGGAGCTGCCATGGCTGTCGCCTGCACCAAGTGGCTAAGGCTAGGTTAAGGGGGAGCTAGTGCCCTCCGGTGAAGCTGGAGAGAAAACATCAATTCGATATTTCGAGACGGTCTTAGCGCAGGTCACTTGACGGTCGATTGGGCAAGTGTGCCAGCCATCGCATTCTTCTTAATAACTGCAATTTCTGCCCCGGCCAAAGGCTGTCGCAGGTCGCAGGTTTCATGTCTCCGAATCTATTGCAGGCTAGAATTGTTCGAAAGAATCTCAACGATGTCTAGCACCGAGAAAGTCGATCACCAATCGCCGCCACCCACAGCGAGCGACGCCGTCGAACACACCAAGCGCTCCAACAAACCGGCTTTACTCGTTCGCAGATCATCTCTCGGCAGCAAGCTGCCTGAGACAGTCTCATCCGCGTATGTTCTCGACTGGGAGGGTGAAAGATGTAGGCAGCGACTCCTGAGCCATGCAGAGGATCTCGTGAGAGAGTCTGTAGGGCGCAGGAAGCTCACCATCATCCAGGGGCTTCCGCTGGACTTGGTCCAGGTCTTGAGGGACTCACTAGGTGTCCACCCCGAATTTCTCGAGGCACACGCTGGGAGGCGGCGATATCGGCCGCTGAGGCAGGACAATGGCGACAGTTTTATATCCTTTGAGTATCCTGAACTCGTAAGAGTCCATCGGACTGCGATCGGGCCAGATCTTGGGTACAAGCCGTCGGCCAGACAGTCGGACTTGGTGGACGTGATGGATGAAGCACCCTTCCATTCGCTGTCCGGAGACGGTCTGTCTGTCATCTTCTCTCATGCATCCTTGTGGATGAGCAGCAAAGCTGACGGCAAGTATTGCGGAAATTCTTGGCTATGGCATTCAACTGACCATTCAATAGTACTGTTTTTGGATCGACCGGTTTGGCTTGATCCGTCTTCGCAGCTTGGAAAGGCTCGGCGACCTCTATCTGTGACGAGGTCGTGGCAGAGCAAAATCGATGAATCGCAGCTGGATGGTACTTCTGTGTGGAACGTCTTGATTGCCGAAGGAGACGAAATCCCAGGTCTCGAGGACAGCCTGCTGAGAACGTTTCGGTACACAAAGGTGGCCAGGGAAGAGCTTCCCAATCTCTTGTTTGAGTCGGTATACGGCAAATGGCTGGACTTTTTCGAAACGCTTCCTCAGTCGGATTCACAAGATGCGTCGTTGTTCTGGCAGGCTACCGAGTCCTTGGAACAAAATCTCGACGAATCTCAAGACCCTAGACGGCACCCCATCATGGGTGAGATGCACCATTCGAGCTGGCGACACCTCCTGGACCGACTGCAGCGTCGCATCGCTATATCGCGTCTGGCAACTACAGCACCGCCCCAGACTTCGTGGCTGCCATCAACCCGAGGCCTAACGACAGCGCAACCACGGACACGAGATGCAGGCTTACCGGAAAAAAGTGTGCGGGCCCTTCCGAGCTTGCAAGGCAACTACTGGGCGGACGACAAAGAGGCGAACCAGCGTGCGCTCGACCGTGTCACTTATCTTGGCGGCATCCTCCTCCCCTTTACCGTGGTATCGGCGATTCTCTCCATGAATGACGAATACTCACCAAATGCGCCTCGGTTCTGGGTGTTTTGGGTTGCTTCGGCTGGTGCGGCGATCCTATGTCTGCTCATCATCTACCTGGATCAATTACGATGTCTCGAGGTTTACTTCGAAGTGGCGTCTGACAGTATTGAGTCGGTCCTGTCGTCTGTTGACGGCAAAACTCGTGTTTACAGCAGTGGCGGGATGGGGATGCCGCAGTCTAGGTGGAGACGACCGTCGAGGCTGAACACCGAACTATTCGTCGACATGCCGCAGCCCGGCGTGGGTGACATTGAAGTAATGGCTGACTCGGCAGTCAATCCGACCATGATGGTACAGCAATGTAGGGACGGTACAACGAGTCCCAAGGCGTGGCAGCGGGGAACGCTGGGATGGGGTGGTGCGGTGAAGAAAGTTGTTGGCTACTATCGTTGGAGGGGCGGCATGCCGGTACAGCTCAGGTCTAACGGGCTGGAAAGATTTCGAATGAACGCGATTTAGCGGGGTTGCGCTGGTGGTGTTCTTGTGTAAGTACTCGGCGGTACGTAATTGTCTGGAGGTTTTCTCATCTTTCGTATATTGGAGGCATTGACTGTTGCATTAAGCGTGCGTCGCAATTAAGATCCAGAAGAAAAAGAAAAGGCGTCTACCTCACACCAAGGACTCGGTCACGGTGCAAGCAAGGCAAGTGTAAGGATGGGAGCTTCGGTCTGCGTGGGGCCGGCCGGACGACCATCTCCGATGCGATGCGACTCCATGCTCGGGGAACACTAGGGGGAACCTAACTGACTTACCTCACCTTATGTAATGTGTAATCAATGTAACCATTCCCCAACGTCCTGGTTGTTGGTTCCGATGGACTTAATTCCTAGACCTCCTGAGTGCCAACGCTGAAAGAGGAACATGCAGTTTGCCTTGGGCATCCAATCACTTCGCACAATGGAGCCTTGGCGGTTGTTGGTACTCCGTGCCGCTGTTGGAGAGGTCGGCCTCCCGCGGTGCGGTTCGGCCCAGGCTGCAGCGCCTGCCTGCTCAGTTGCCTGCGACCGGGCGGGAATCTGGTCATGGATGGCAATAGAGACTGGTCTGTCACTCCCAAGCGAGACAAACCTGACCTCTTCACCTCTGTAATTCCCTTACCTTGTGGTATGGTGCGGTACTGTGTCTTTCCTAAATACCTTACCCAGCTGCACCTCCTTGTACGCCTGCCCATACCACCACACCTTGCGACACCTTCCTTTCCGCTCCAGTAAGCTCACTTTTTGTTTCCAGGAACTTGAAAAAAGAGACTTTCTAGAACCAACAGGTCAAATAACACCCTCTCTGGATAGCCCAAAAGGGTGCCGGAAAAGGGGTGGAGAGCCAGCCCGTTATTGCCTTCATTGCCTAAGCGCGCCGACCTGCTCCTTCTCACCTTTTGGTCTCCTTGACCTCTGCGTTTTTTCGTGAGTCAAACTTTGAGGTTTCTAATCGACTCAACTGCTAATTTCTTCCGCCGGTTTGTTGCAGGCAGCCTTTCTTTGCCTCTACAATTAAGTGGCTGTCGACAAGGCTTTTGTCGACGGCTCTTTCTCGGAAACAATAGAGGATTGATTGTACGCCCTCCCAAAGAAGCACATACAGCTGGACTCTACCCGTTACGCCTGCTTCACATTACGGTCAGTGTCTATTTTCAACTTCCGCCTTCTTGCCTATTTTCTCTCGTCATCGTTATCGGCGTCTTTGTCGTCGCCGTCTCTTGTCGTCGTCGTCGTCTCTCGTCGTCTCCACCCTTCTTCTTTCCTTCGCTTGCCTTTCTTTCCTTCCCTTTCCGTTTCTGACTGGCCCTTTTCGTCCCCTATATCCCTCGTCCCTGTCCCTCTCCAGGTCTTTTCTTAACCAACTTCTTCCCTTTAAGAGCCGGCACCGTTGATCCCTCTGCTTCCCATTATCGCTTTCACAAACCGTTTCTGGCCAACCCACTGGCACAAAGTACTAAATTCCGGCTTCCAGACCCATTTCAGCAACGGCATTTCCCTGCTCCCGGGTTCATCGTCGCCATGACTCGCAGGAAATTCAACAGCGATTTGGCGCATGCCTGTCAGCAGACTGTTGACCAGATCTCTCAGGTCGCAAAGGGCGATGACGATGGCCAGGTTGTCCTCACCTTC